AAATACATTGTTTATTTACATGGATTTCGAACACGCACTGTGCGACGACCACCGCGCTTTAAACATTGAACCCCAAGATACACAAATGCTAGTCCATAATCGAGAATTCATCATTATAAGTATGAATGTTTTGTAAGTTCTATGTATTAATCAACTTAGAAGACTATTATCTGCGCGGGTGTCACGGTGGTCTTTACTGTTATACATATATACATATATATTGCACATGACTGGGATGTCGATCGTGTCACGATAATCGTTACACGTTACAATATTCAAGTGTGTCTTGGATACACATAACATATATGAATACGGGAGGATATGATGATAACTGTCGTCATCGAAGCCAGACAAGTGGCGTTTATAGACGCTTGATTTACCGTGAACGAAAAAGTAACACAAACAGCAGTATTACAATATAGCTCAATGTTTTGGAAACAAAATAACAATAACGTGTATAATGGAATGTTGATATCAATATTGATATTTTTATCACCAAAACAATCATGTAATAATTTATTATTAATATATTTTTCTTAATTCACAGACACATCATAACAATGTTGCGAGCAATGAGGATTCACGGTCTAAGTTCAACTCTGAGAATAATTCATGTACGAGGGTTCCGTAGAAATTCACGACCAGTTATAAAAGGATTGATGATTGTGTTGACTGTATTCATAATTTTCACGTTCGTCGGGCTCCAGTGTAAACCAATTTTGTTGAGGATAAAACGTTGGCGCAATGGACCATGCAGAGATAGACATTTTCACAAAGACGGTCACACGCCTGAAGGTGTCTACATCGATGTTGGAGCCGGTGACGGTAGGGCACTGAGGGCGTTTTACCAAGAGCTTCCAGCAGAAGTTGGCTTGCCAGTAATCCCTTGTCAGTACAACCCACGAGATTGGAGTGTCTTCGCAATCGAGGCGGACAAGCAGTTCAGTGGAATTCTCGAGAACATGAAACTCAATTACGGGTTTAGTTTGTTTAAAGATACCGCCGTTTGGTTCAAAAATGAGGAACTTAATTTGAACATGGAACAAGTTGGGCGGACGTTGGATTTGAACAAATGGCTAAGGACAAACTTGTCCAAAGAAGATTTTGTCGTATTAAGGATGAATATAGGAGGCTCTGAGTACGAACTGTTGGACAAAATGCTGAAAAACGGCTCATTCTGTTTGATTGATTTGTTGATAGTGTATTACCATAACAGACACGTTGGTAGAAGTAGCTTATTGGGACCATCTATGGCATATCGCATTAGGACGGTTGCCGGCAAAGCTGCGTGTGACGTTCAGATTTTGTATGAAGAAGTTGTGTGAATTAAATTGTCAATGGCCGCTTTTTCTGTCTTTCATTGGTTTAATATGAATACAAATGTTTGTGTCAGGTTGGAAAACAATGTGATATTAATATTTGGTCCAAAACTGTAGTGTTGACGTCACCATATCTACAAACCTGATTTTCAGGCGTTGGCCTTACATAGGGGTGCAATCTGAAACAGGAACGCGCAAACCTTCTAGCCAAACAACAAAACCATCACCCGAATCGTCGCAGATTTGTTGTTGAAGCCGGGGTTTAAGTTAAACTACTGTTCACAGTCCCTCTATCATATATATATATATATATAGAGAGAGAGAGAGGGACTGTGTACTGTCCTATGAATTTCAGTACTGGGGAGGGGGGGGTCAAAACTTTAAAATAGCCAGACTAAGTTAATGATTTTTTTATATTATACAAAAACAAATTGAATATTTTTTTCAACGGGGGGAGAGACCCCCCCCCCCGATTCGCCACTGCGTAATAAACGCACTTTGGCTCGTGAAGACACCAACTAGCTAACCCTGATAGCTGGGTTTCCTACACCTTTTAAAAGCAAAGCATCGATTGAAGTGTGTATATTCGTCAGTGAGGTAAGGACAATTTTGTAATTGGCCAATCGGCACTGTATATAGATAGAGTATGTAAAGCGATATTAGCTGCAACTGCACATTTTCTGTGTCAAAAGTGTTAAATTGTAAAGGCCATCGTCGAAATGTGAAAGCTTATCATATACGCTATATGCCAACGTTGTACATTAAATCACTTGCAAATAAAACAGATGGCTGCAAAAGAGTGACAATTTTGTCTAGCGAACCTCAGGGATTACAGTACAAGATGACAACTTAACCAGGACCCTTGGCAAAATATCAAATACATTTCAATCATGAGAGGCTCAGCCTCTTTCTCACTGATGATTTGTTGTGTGCCATATTTCCCATAATAGTGTATTGCTTCATAATTATCAACGGTCCCAACCACGTGACCCAATTCAACGACTACTCGACCCTTTGTTTTCACATAGCATTTATGTGATGTTAGCCTGGTAATGGTCACTTTGCCATGCAATAACATTTGATCATATTTATATGGTAATATTTAAACAAAAAATGTTCAAAATCACAGCTATTGCTTCTTTAAAGGGCGGAGGTTGTCACGCCGCGCATATACGACATCCGTGCTGGTAAACATTGCTTTTCCCACATTCTAATGCGCTCTTCTAATGGGAAATCACAAGTACGAGTTTTGACCTGGGCGCGACGTGCACTCCTTGCACACTTTCCAATCACCAAAAAAATGTATCTAGTTAAAGCTTGGTAACGTCTGTGCAACAGTCAAAGTCGCCATCTTTGTTTATACTATGAGACTCATGTCCCGCTCATGCGTGGCGCGACGACCACCGCCCTTTAAATAGGAGCTCAATGTCAAGCCAATATGTCCCTAGGGACTGTGGTTACGTGGAATAGTTACAGTCCATACGATATAACAATGGAGAACAAGTAATACACAAAATACGCAGGGCAATGCCATGAGAATGCCATGAGAAATATCTGTGTGTACTAGATGCATGGCGTGCACACAATGCTTTCACAATCACAGACAAAGACTATATTTCATGTTAAAGATGCAATATTTTAAAATATTTTCCTCGATACTCGTATTGTCGACCAAATTGAATTAGTATTATCATGAACTAAAAATGTTGCGTTTGCAGGACACACAATTGTATTCGTTAGAAGAACAATAATACGCATGTGCAGTGATTGTTATTGTACATACATAAAAATAACCAGTGTACATGCGTATTACAAATTGCATTGTATCATTGAACGAATATTCGGATGGGTGTTACAAAAACAGTGTTTTCAGATCACGATACATCATACTCCAAAGTAGTCATCAATATTATATTTGGGTGGACCTCTGCTAGGAAGTACTGTTTTAGAGTATCAAACAATAATACCAAAACTTACATTTTATCATTCATATTGTATGTTTAAACATAGTAACAATAAATATAACATGAAACCACATCTGTATATTTTGATTTTGATATTGCACCGACTATATTATATACATCCAGAAGCTATAATTTTAAAATAATAATGCTTGAATTCAGTTCTTGTTTGTGTAGTTGTTAATTATTCGGTCGAATGAGTTAATAAAGTTTTGAGAGTCCAGTGTTTCCTAAGTGAACTATTTATGTCGAGTCATCCCATGGCATTCGCTACTCTTTGCAATACGGATGTTGTGTTATTTTACGTGCACTGGAAGCTCACGGGGCCGATAGTTTAACGTCCTATCCGACTGGACGCCATATTCCCGACACTGAGTATCCTAGGTTACTAATGTTAAACAACTATTATTACATATGAAATTTGTGCTTACAACTCTTTCTAGGGGATTTGGATTATAACACGATCTAAATCCAACGTTAAGCCTATAAACGTTCCATTGTTTTTGCAACAGAAATTTGGGATGCACAAGACGTCTCAAATATTGACTCAGTTCTTTAGATCCTTGTATAAAATAGATAAATATAATTGGATTGGTATAGTTATATTTCAACTACGGATAAACTAGAAACCCACTCAAAGGTGTATGTTATCGCGTTTTCGTTGCTCATATACTAGTAATTAGAAAAAAATATATTGAAAGGAGTGAACGAATCTGTC